CCCGGCGCGCACACTGTACCTTTCTGCGACCCACTTCCCGGCGGGCCCCGGGGCCCCCAGCCAAAGGCTTTTCTGGCCGCGGTGCGAGCCGGAATCACCTCTCCCCCGCCGGTGCGCCGAGGCGCCTGGGCTTCTCTGGAGACGAGATGCGCCCGCCACCTGCGCTCCGGTCCGACACCTTACTGCCCGGTGGCGTTAGCAGAGGGAAAGGAACTTTGCTAACGGGCTTTGCTCCAGGAGTGCACTGGACTGCATTAAGTCGACGTTGGTCGGTGGCCCCCGCAGAGCCCAGCGCAGGGCCAGGTGACCTGCCCCGCGGAGAGGCCACAGCGTGAAGCGGAGCCCGCGGGCCGCGCCCGGCGAGGCGCTGGACCGCTGCTGCGTTCAGGCGTTCCACGCCCCGGGCGCTGCACTGCCCGGCTCGGGCGGACGCGCGGCCCTCACCCGGGAGCCCGCAAAGTGAATAGATAGAATGGAAAAGGGGGCCAGCCTGCTTTCGTAATTAAAAAGGAAGTTTTCTTCTTTTATGAAAGCATGCGATTATCCCTAAGTGTTTCTGTTCACCCACAGAAAGCATTAATTCCATCCGCATCAGAAATTACATGAACCAGAAGTGGAAGAGAAGTCGAAATTGTGTTGGCTGATTTTGACCGTCCTTCAACTTTATTGCCTTTCTTTAAAAAAAAAACAAAAGTCTTCCCCTCTCTTCTATTGCTACTCCATCCTTCTTTCAAGATCAAAAGCTTTAGATCAAAGCCAAGATCAAACTCACCCCTTTAAATAGAAGCAACTTTGCCATGGAGTATTTAACACAAGAGTAGCTTCTTAATGGAGAATCAGAGTGGAAAACTTCATGTCATCCCTTTGTCCCATATTCATAACTGAGCCTCATAAAATTACATTGAAGATGCACTTCTGATTCCTAAAATAAACAAGTTTGCCCAAATAGAGGATTCTTAACTTCATGTTTGTTTGCGGGGTGGAAAACAAAATAAAACAGAAAAAACAACCCTTGAAAGGGTTTAAGTATAAATAGAGACAAGGCGGGCTTCCAAAGTTTTCCTGAAAAATTCCGTTACATTTTTCCCCATTTCTCAATCAGTAGTTGATATATCAACTACACACACACACACACACATAGAGGAACGAACTTAATCAATATTTATGTAATAATAACATAACAAAAATGCCCAAGAGCTTTCAATTCCATTTTTACACAAACTATTTAAAGCCCCTCTCATGTCAAAATTATTTTGTAGCATTCTTATAGCTAGGTGCTATGATTTGTATGCTTATTTGCTAAAGATTTTTCAAAGTGTTATCGAATCTACTTATATATAATGTACAACCACCCGTATGTTACAAAGGAAATGAACGGAAAAGAGTTATCGCCTTGCAAATCTTGAGTGCATCTCCACAAAGGCAGGTAACAATTACACCAAAAAATTACATGGGGAGTGTATTATATAATTGCAGAGCTGCTTAGTTTTAAATGGAACAAGAACTTTGAGCTGTTCAAGCTTCCGTGCTACTAATCAAGAGAACTCTATCCCTGGCAGAAGTCTTCCCTATACCCACTAGTATCCCCTGCCCCCTTGAGAGTTCACTAGCTCCAGGAACTCTTGATAGGAACCGCTCAGTACTGATGTACAGAGAGAGCCGTGCCTAAATGGACCCTTCAGTGTCCTCTTTGTCGCGTTGTCAACAATTCTTCAGCATATAGTCACAGAAGAAACCTAAACAAAATGAACTCCAAAGATCCAGTGATAGCGATAGAGAGAACTATAATAAATTCAATCTTATAAAGGCATCTATGAAAAAATCTGTTGTTACAGCTGGGCGGCAGTTACTATGTGCAGATTTCCCCCTTCATTCCTCATCTGGTTGTAGACACACACACACACACACACACACACACACACACACACGGAATCACATTGAACCACTGGGAAGATCTTCACAACGGAGAGCGAGCCACCTCATCTAGCTGTCACTGACGCAGCCCTCCTCCTTTCTATGACCCAGCTCATGAGAACCTAGCCTTTTCAGACACAACCTGAACCAAGGGAAGCTTCCAACTGTCACTCAGTCCTCCTAGGACTTTGTTGAGTGGGCAATAAAAGCTTTGGTCCATTCTAAGTGCCCACTAGCTATTTTCTTTGCTTGTCCTGTGGCGACCTCCCAGCCCCCATCTTCCCAAAGGAAACCTAAATGATCTTTCCTACAATAATTCTCTCACTTCTCTTAAACCTAGGATGTCTTTTCTTCTCCTCATTACCTGGCCAGCTCCCATGTCTCTTCTAGCTCTGGGCTTTACCAACACTTATTCAGAGAGGCATTCCCTTGCCCCTCACCAACCAACCAAACTGTCACCCACAATTCTTTCTAATAGCACCTGATTGATTTCTTTAAAGAACTTCTTACAGTCTATATCAATTGATTAAATTCTGGCTCTCCAACTGGTCTGTAAGTACATGACACAAAAACCCCATTGCCACCCAGTTGATTCCGACTCACAGAGCAGAGTAGAACTGCCCACAGGATTTGGAAGGCTGTTATCTACAGAAGGCGACTGCCACATCACCCCCTCAGAGCTGCCGATGTGTTTAAACAATGATTCTCTTGTTAGCAGCCCAGCACTTAATCACTGTGCCACCAGGCTCCTCCTGGAAGTTGAGGAAGCAGAAATATTGGCTCTCTTGTTCTCAGGCCTTTGTCTAGTCACTGAAACATTGCTGGCATATAGTAGATGCCCAATAAATATACATATACTTTACTATTTATTATTTTATTCTTTTCTTTTTATTGGGGACTCTTACAACTCTTATCAAAATCCATACATCACTTGCATCAGGGGAATTTGTACATATGTTGCCTTCATTCTTTTCTAGACATTTACTTTCTATTGAGCCCTTGGTAACAGTTCCTCTTCCCCCCACTCCCCCCTCCCAATAAATATTTTTAAACAAAGGAAAGGAAGAATCAAGGAATGATTGAATGAAATTCCGGTGTTAAGATACATAAACCCTCTGGAATTGTGCTTTTAAAAAAAAGAGAATCATAGCTGCTATATTGCCAGGGTAGTTTTTAAAATGAACTTAAAAATATAGAGATAACACTGAAGGCAAACCAAACCTGTCGCCCTGCTCTTGATCTACTGCAAGTCACCGCATAGAGGCCCTGGATGATGAAGCAGAATGTTTCCACAGGGTTTTCGTGGTTGTAATCTCTAGCGAAGTAGATAGACCTCAGAATTTTTCCCCCTCTTCCTACCCCACTCTCTGGGTTTGAACTGCCAACTTTTAGGTTAGCTGCCTAGCACAAATCATTTGCACCACCTGTATGTAATTCCCTCATATAACAATTACAAAAAGTGTATTCACAACGACACTAGGGGCTGCGTTCAATCTAGAATGAGAGACAACATCATTGTGTGACTCTACATGAATATTAATACTTTGTATTGTATCCAGTACAATTTCAATACACCTCTCCTTCTCTCTCTCCTTTCTTCATGGGCTGACTGATACCAAGGAAGGTAGGGTGGGGAGAAACTGCCGGAATAAGACTTTCTAAAACAATTGGAATTCTGGCGGCAGGATGGCACTCTGCTCAGGCTATGTGCTGTAAAAGTAGCTTTGAGGATGTGGTGAAAGCACTTTAAAACTATTGTTTAAAAGCAGATGTTTTCTATTTGAATTGTATCTTTTAAAAAGTGCCTCATTTTAGTAGCAATGCAAGTTTTGAAAAGAAGTTGTTCGAAGAAAACTTCTTGTCAAAGTAGCTTATAATAGCTGAAGACAATTTCAGAAGTTGAGGAAAACGCCATTACTTTAAAATCAAAGCCTTATTTAACCTAGTGGCTGGATATTACTTTTGGAGACATCTTTCTCTTTCTAGTTTTCCTCGTGGAGTCCGAAGAGGAAATTACGTCTTCATCTGGAAAAAGGTAGCGGTACCAATTTCATTCTGTGATGAGGGTGTGTGATCTCATCTGGATTCTGCCTGTGACTACGTGAAGCCACAGAGGTAGAGAAGCAGTGTACCTGTACTCCTGGTCAACATGATGACCTGGATGGCAGAAACGGGGAGCCC